CTCGCCTGCGGGGGGCGGCGGCGGCGGCGAGGCCTTGGAGCTGCTGGAGCACTGCGGCGTCTGCCGGGAGCGTCTGCGGCCCGAGAGGGAGCCGCGCCTGCTACCCTGCCTGCACTCGGCCTGCAGCGCCTGTCTCGGGTCCCCGGCGCCCTCCGCCGCCAACAGCTCGGGGGACGGCGGTGCCGCGGGTGATGGAGCGGGTGAGTGTTGTCGGGCCCCTCTTCTCCCGCAGCTTTCGATCCCGATTTGGCGCTCAGGTTGGGTGTTCGTGGCGTTGTCTGGGGAATGGCCCGGGAGAGAAGATAGGCCCGGAGATGCTTGGCCGGATTGGGTGTGGGCAGTGGGGTCTTGGCCGGGCGCTGAGATGGGGCGTCTGCCTCAAGGGTGCAGGAGTGGGGAGGGTCAGGTCTAGCGTGGGATGGAGACTGGGATCCAATGTTGGGGTTCTCGTCTGGATTTGAACATGCTGGGGTTTCATTCCTTTCTGTTCTTAGTCGTGGACTGTCCTGTGTGCAAGCAGCAGTGTTTCTCCAAAGATATTGTGGAGAATTATTTCATGCGTGATAGTGGCAGCAAGGCTGCCACTGACTCCCAGGATGCGAATCAGGTATGTCCTTCCCTAGGAATCCCCAGGAGGCCTTGGGGCCACGGGAAGGGGTCACCAGCCTAGGGGCGTGGTTTTCAACTCCAGGCTTTACTCTTCCTGCACTAGGAGCCTCTGGGCAGGCTGCATAGGCAAAGGCATGACTTTATGTTGTTTCTCCGGTCACATATGTGGGCTTTTCTGCTCGTTCTGTTTCCTGACTCTTCCCTTGCCCAACAGTGCTGCACTAGCTGTGAGGACAACGCTCCAGCCACCAGCTACTGTGTGGAATGCTCTGAGCCCCTGTGTGAGACATGCGTGGAGGCACACCAGCGGGTCAAGTACACCAAGGACCACACTGTGCGCTCCACTGGTATGCGAGGCGGAAATGGGTGGCCCAGGGTGCCCTTTTGCGTTTGTCCTCAGCTGCTTACGATGGGGGTAGCAGGTGGTGCGTGGGTTCCAGGAGCTTCTGCAGTTAAGGGATACTACTCGAGAGGCCTGATGTGAGAGTTTAAATCATCTGGAGGCTATGGCTCCGGTATGCAGTTTGCTAGTCCAGGGTGGAGGGGAAAGGCCACAGGCGGAGGGCAGGGCAAGTGGATAGGGGAACCTTTGTGCCTCGGGGCGTGCAGAAGATTGGAGGAAACTCATCAGGGAAGCCCCTGAGGTAGGGGGCGAACCCTAGCAGTGGATGAGGTGGCATGCGCAGATAGGAAAATGCAGGGCATTTGGGGAAGGATTGAGTGACCTCCTTGACCTGGGGTTCCCTGGCACCTGGCGTAAGGCTCCGTAGGAAAAAGTTGTGGGCCCTTAGATTGTTTACTGACAGTGAGTCCTGTGAGTGTTTTGAGTGTGGATATCTTAAGCTTCTGTTAGGTATTTTTAGGCGTTTTTTTGGAGGTTCTGGTAGTGGTATGGAGAGGGGCTTCATAGTTTGGGTCTAGACTGGGTCATGGTCTGCGACTCCGCACAAGTGGCCTTTGGGTAGTTACGTTGTGGCCGTTTCAGCTCAGAAGACAATATCGGTGGGGAGATGAGGATGGAGATGGTTGCTGTGGGTCGGGGCATCAGGAGTCAGGGTGGAAGGGCAGGGATTTATAGGGGATCCTGGGTTTTAGGCAAAGGTTAGGGTCTGGGAGGCAGCAAACGTATCCGAGGAGCTGTGGCCCGGTCTTTGTCTCAGTCATATATCGGGCCGGGTTGGGAGCCAGAATGTTTGCGGAGAAAAGAGGAACAGGCTTTCAAGCAGATTTAATGGTGACAGGCTATGGGGTGGGTAGGGGGCATGACAGTGTGATAGATTGCTTTTTGAGGGGTATAATTGAGCACCAGCAAGCCTTTTCCCCCATAAAGGGGTCTTGTCATTTTTCTGAGGGTGCTGGTTAGACATCTCATATGTCCAAGCCTGAAAAGGTTGTGCCAGGCACTCTGTGGGCTTGTGGGTTATATGTAAGAGGTCCTTGGTCTTGTATGAGAAAAGAGGGGAGGTCACCAGGCCTGGTTCCTGAGGAAGGTGCCTCACTGATGTCTGTAGGCTCTGATTTGCTTTCTGTCTGTGCTAGAAAGCAAATATTCTCCGTGCTGGGATGTCACAGTAGCCAGAAACTCCTTTCCCGCTGGACAGAATCCGCTGTGAGTGGAAGAGAAAGCCTGGGGGGGTTTTGGAGGCAGAGGAGCGCTCTTGATCATCCACCTGGAGAAGCTTCCAGTAGAGGGACCAGCAGGTTGGAGGTCTTCTCTAAAAGCCATCATCACACGTTGTCAGCGCCAGAAGGTGGAAGGGGGAGTCGCTTGGTTAGGCTCGGGACAGAGGGTTTCGAAAGCAAGGATTTGGGTCTCGAGGCCCAGGCTTTTCCCTGGCAATGGTTGCAGGGCCCTCTGGTTTTTCCAGTAGGTTGCCCAGGGTTGCAGGATAGGCAGGAAGTGAGGCCCCCGAGCTGGAGGTGCTGAGCATGAGCTGCATCCTTGGGGTGTGGGGGGGTACCTGTTGCACAGGGCCGGCCAAGTCACGAGATGGTGAGCGCACGGTGTACTGCAACGTGCACAAGCACGAGCCTCTCGTGCTGTTCTGTGAGAGCTGCGACACCCTCACTTGCCGAGACTGCCAGCTCAACGCCCACAAGGACCACCAGTGAGTCTTGAGTAAGGGTGGGAGGGGGGCGGGTGCCCATTGCCATGCTCAGCGCCCAGACCCACCTCTGTCTGCCCTCAGGTACCAGTTCTTGGAGGATGCAGTGAGGAACCAGCGCAAGCTCCTGGCCTCACTGGTGAAGCGCCTTGGGGACAAGCATGCCACACTGCAGAAGAACACCAAGGAGGTTCGGAGCTCGTAAGTGTGGATGCCAGGCCCATGAGGGAGTCCCCAGGTGAACACCTGCCTGACTGGACCTCACCTGACCCACCCTCCCCCAGGATCCGCCAAGTGTCTGACGTTCAGAAGCGTGTGCAGGTGGATGTTAAGATGGCTATTCTGCAGATAATGAAGGAGCTGAACAAGAGGGGCCGCGTGCTCGTCAACGATGCCCAGGTACCCCACGTGGTACCTGTGTTAGTTTTTGGGCCCTCTTTGCTGGCCAATGACCTCATCTGGTGGAGGGGTCCTGGGGAGTACTGGGTGTTGAGGCCATCCTTGGGTGGGGACAGATCCTAGTATCTTCTCTGTGTTTATTGCCTCTGCCCCCACCACCTGCAGAAGGTAACTGAGGGGCAGCAGGAGCGCCTGGAGCGGCAGCACTGGACCATGACCAAGATTCAGAAGCACCAGGAGCACATTCTGCGCTTTGCCTCCTGGGCCCTGGAGAGTGACAACAACACAGCCCTACTGCTCTCCAAGAAGCTGGTGTGTGCTGGTGGGCACCCGGGTGGTCAGGTGCGGGCAGGCATCCCCAGCACCCTGGAGTCTTGTGCACCACCTGTGCACTCATGCGCTGCCCCACCCCCAGATCTACTTCCAGCTGCACCGCGCCCTCAAGATGATCGTGGACCCTGTGGAGCCACACGGCGAGATGAAGTTCCAGTGGGACCTCAACGCCTGGACCAAGAGCGCAGAGGCCTTCGGTGTGTCCTTGTCTTTCCCCTTGCTGCACTGTGCCACCGTCCAGGCCCCGTGCCTTATGTTTGTCTCGTTTCTGCAGGCAAGATTGTGGCAGAGCGTCCTGGCTCTAACTCCACAGGCCCTGCGCCCATGGCCCCTCCACGGGCTCCAGGGCCCCTGAGCAAGCAGGGCTCTGGCAGTAGCCAGGTGAGCAGGGGCGGGGCCCTAGAGGGAGGAGGTGGGTGTGCGGTCCCGGGGGACCCCTGACCACTGAGCTCCAATCTGCTTTGTCTGCAGCCTATGGAAGTACAGGAGGGCTATGGCTTCGGGTCAGGTGAGTGGGTCTGCTGCTGGGTGGGAGGCTCTAGTGCACTGGGTCCACCCACCCCCACCCACTGTCTTTCTCTGTCTCCTGAGTAGATGATCCTTATTCAAGTGCGGAGCCCCATGTGTCGGGTGTGAAACGGTGAGTGTGGTTGTCCTTCCATGGAGCCGGGGGGATGTAGGGACAGGGCTGTTCATGCCAAGCTGTACCCACAGGTCCCGCTCAGGTGAGGGCGAGGTGAGCGGCCTTATGCGCAAGGTGCCACGGGTGAGCCTTGAGCGCTTGGATCTTGACCTCACGGCTGACAGCCAGCCCCCAGTCTTCAAGGTCTTCCCAGGTAGCACCACCGAGGATTACAACCTGATTGTCATAGAGCGTGGGGCTGCAGCCGCTGCTGCTGGACAGCCTGGGACTGCGCCCCCTGGGGCCCCTGGTGCCCAGGCCCTGCCCGGCATGGCCATCGTCAAGGTGAGGCCCCTCCTTCGCCAAGACCATGGCTGAGAAATGAATGACGTCTGCTGCCTGGGTCTTCACGCTGCTGAGTTTCTCTCTCTTCCTTTCAGGAGGAAGAGACAGAGGCTGCCATTGGCGCCCCACCTGCTGCTCCCGAGGGTCCTGAGACCAAGCCTGTGCTGATGGCCTTGGCAGAGGGCCCTGGTGCTGAGGGTCCCCGCCTGGCCTCACCCAGTGGCAGCACCAGTTCAGGCCTGGAGGTGGTGGCTCCGGAGGGTACCTCAGCCCCAGCTGGTGGCCCAGGTGCTCTGGATGACAGTGCCACCATCTGCCGTGTCTGCCAGAAGCCAGGGGACCTGGTTATGTGCAACCAGTGCGAGTTCTGCTTCCACCTGGACTGCCACCTGCCTGCCCTGCAGGATGTGCCAGGGTATGAGGCTAGGCTCAGACAAGGGGCTCGGCTGTTCCTGTCCTGTGCTCGTCCTCATTCTTGAGGGCCTCGGCTGTGCCCGTCTGTGCTCGTCCTCATTCTTTTCTTCTAGGGAGGAGTGGAGCTGCTCACTCTGCCATGTGCTGCCTGACCTGAAGGAGGAAGATGGCAGCCTGAGCCTGGACGGTGGAGACAGCACTGGCGTGGTGGCCAAGCTCTCGCCAGCCAACCAGCAGGTGAGCGTAGGGGCCCAGTCCCTTGGCTACCCAGCAGCTGTCCACCCCCGTCCCACCCCCGTCCCACGCCCGTGGCTCTGATGTCCATTTCCATACCGTTCATAGAAGTGTGAGCGTGTCCTGCTGGCCCTGTTTTGCCATGAGCCCTGCCGGCCCTTGCACCAGCTGGCCACCGACTCTAGTTTCTCCCTGGTGAGTCCTGGGACTTGGGAGTAGGGCGGGGGCAGGGTTTGTCTGGCCTCATCTTCATCCTGTGGACTTCCCTGTAGGATCAGCCTGGTGGCACCTTGGACCTGACCCTGATCCGCGCCCGCCTCCAGGAGAAGTTGTCTCCCCCGTACAGCTCTCCTCAGGAGTTTGCCCAGGATGTGGGCCGAATGTTCAAGCAGTTCAACAAGCTGACAGAGGTGAGCCTGTGCAGAGAGGCTGGGAGCCGGGGGCTGGGGCTTTGGCGCCAGGTGATAGCTAGGACCCACTCTCTTGTCATCTCCCTGCCCAGGACAAGGCAGATGTGCAGTCCATCATCGGCCTGCAGCGCTTCTTTGAGACCCGCATGAATGAGGCCTTCGGCGACACCAAGTTCTCTGCTGTGCTGGTGGAGCCCCCGCCACTGAGCCTGCCTGGTGCCGGCCTGAGTGCCCAGGAGCTGTCCAGTGGCCCTGGTGATGGTCCTTGAAGCTGGGCCCCCCTGAGCCAGCTCAGCCTATCTCTGTCCTTTCACCCCCTCCCCAAGCTCTACCCCTCTGGTGGCCTGGCTCCCATTCCTTGGTAGCCCCATTTCCCTAGCCCCTCACAATACGGTTTTTACTTGTGGATTTAATAAAAATTTCACGGGCTCCTCAGGCCGTGGTTGGTGGGCAGTGCCCCGGGCCTCGTCTCCGCAGGCATCTATACCTCACCAAGCCTTGATGGCCAAGGAGGGTGGGGGCACACAGCCTCCAGTGTTCAGGGAGTAGGGAAAAGCATTTCTCCTGGGCCCTCTGACGTGGACAGTGCCTTAGGTACGGGGCAGGGCACACAGGGAGGAGGCCGAGGCCGATTTACATGCTTGATCGTGGCTACTCTTCCTGGACTGGTAAAATCTGATGCCCCACAGGGAATGGGTGGCCTGAGGCTCCCACTGGGCCAAGCTGAGTTGCTCGCTGTCTCTGGCAGGCCTGAGATTCCAGGATTCTCTCCAGGGTATTATTAGGAGCCCCCCATCTTGGTGGAAGTGTCGAGGCCAAGGTTTTTGAGGCCTGGAAGGGGTGTTGGAGCTGAGCCCACCGCTGACCTTTGGCTCCCAAGCCGTGAATGTGGGTGGCCTCGGTGTGTCTACCCTTGCCCTCCGTAGCCCGCAGTGTAACTGATCTGGCACTTGGCCTTTTGACAGCCCCTCACTAAGCCCTGAGTGACTCACCCCAGCCCAGCCTACATGAGGCTAGTCACAGAGGCCCAAGAACTAGTGTCTAATCACTTTTATTAGAGAAAGGGTGCAGCGGAAGTGAACATCCTTTGGCCCGCTGGGGCGACGGGGCAGTCAGTCCCTCCGCAGGTTCTTGAGCCGCTCCTCCAGGTCCGCGTCCGCATCAACCAGGGCTGAGGCCGAGGCTGCGGCCTCTGCTTTCTTCCCACCGGTGGCCACACTGAGGGAGCCTCCGGTGGAAGGAAGGTCTGTAGAGAGAGGCGAGTTAGAGCCCATGGAAAAGGGCACTGGGACAGGGAGTGACAGGGCTTAAACTGGGACACTCACTGGACAGCTCATCTGTCAGGCTCAAGCCCAGCTCATCCAGGACCTGGGACACGACAGCATCACTAGGGAAGAAGATGAGAATTGAGAATCAGGCACCTAGGAAGGTTCACTCCATCCCCACCCTCCCACCTGGTACGCCCGAACCTCTCTTCCTCATCATCCTCATCACCCATGGCGTCGTCGATGGCGTCGTTCATCATCTCCTCCTTCATGTCCATGATCTCTGCCTGCCGCTCAAACTCCATCATGATCTTCTGGATCTGGGGCAACTTAAGCTGGAAGTAGGGGGAAGGGTGAGTCTGGTCCCTGAGGTGTGGGGGAGGGGTTTAGGGAGAGGCGTACCTGTCTGTTCATGGTGCCCATGGCCTTAGTGACACCCTTCATGGCTTGCGCCATCGAGTTGTTGGACTTGAGTGTCTGGATCTTGAGGGACACAGCCTGGATGTTGGCCCGCATCAGCACAAACTTGCGCACGTACCTCCGTGTGCGCACCAGGTCTTTTGCCATTATGCGCACAGCGTCCTGAGGAGGGAACAGTGGCCGGGAGCGGCGCTGGGACATGCTGGCTCCCATGTCTCTGTGCCTAACCCAGTGGTCACCCTTGTGCCTCTTGGGTCACTACCCCCCATGCTTCTCTGAAAGTCTCGTTCTCTGGCCAGTAAGTGGAGAAAGGCTGGGCCATGTCTGCAGCCACGCCCTTGCCTTGTAAAAGTCAGTCCTGAATTTCTATCCTCACCTCGCCACAGGCCTGATGGTTGTAAGGTAACCCAAAAGCTCAGCTTTTGACTTGCTCCCCAAACCTCTTCCTTGCCTTGCCCATCCCAAGAAATGGTACCTCGACCTGATTTCTCAGGCCAAAGCTCTTCCCTATCCAGGCTTTGCTCCCCAGTGGTGCAGGAGGCTGTCTCCTCTCACTGGCCTGCAGGTCAGGTGTACTGGTCTCCTGTAGTAAACCCTTCAACTCATCAGCTCCCACAGCGGCCGGTGATTCCGAGTGGATTGGCCCACACCTGCTCTGGGCCCACACATTTCATCACGTTTATTGCTTCATTTGCTTGACGTGCACTTTGCATCTTCTCAGGTTGTCTTTATTATTCGAGGCTCTGATCTCACCTCCTGATTGCTCTTCGCTCCATTTCCTTCAAAGCGCCCATCTGTTGGTATCATCCCACTTGTCCTACTTAACTGCAGTCACAGCAGTGCCTAACCCAGCAACAGCACCTAGCCCTGTGTTCCAGCCCCTGCCAGCCGAACTCACCATCTGCCCTTGCTTGGCCATCTTCTTGATGTCGGCAATGATCTTCTTCTCCTGGGTCTCTAGCTTCTGTCGCTCACGGTCCAGCTCTCGCATGGCACGGTTCAGAGCCCGCTGGTTCTGCCGCAGCAGCTCCTCCGGCGTCTTCCGGCGCCCAAACAACAGGTCCATGGCGGCAGAAGCCCGCCGGTGGGCCCGGGAAAAGTGTGAAGCCTATCTGTGGGGCAGCCTGGGGCCCAGAAAGGTGGCAAGAGGTAGAGCCAGGTCACAGCGTGTATGGGAGTGGGGGGACAAAGGCAGGGAGCGTGCAAACCGCGACGGGGTGACATAAAGGAGGCAGCAAGGAGAGGTGAGGGCAGCCTGAAACATCGGGGTGCTCCAAGGATCCAAGTCTAGGCGGCCAGATCTGAAAGTCACCCACAGCGTACCCAACCTAGCCCCTCCATCACAGAGCCCCCACAGAGGTTCAGGGCGTCAGCCTTCTCCAGACCATGTTGTCGCTGATGGGCTGAGGCTGGAGCTGGTCGTGTGTGGGTGCGCTGGGGGCATTTGGAACCCTGAGTGCCAAAGTGGAGATCCTAACGGGAGGGCGGGGTCCATGGAAGCCCTGAGTGTTAAGCTAACAGGTATAGATGGCATTCGGATTGGGCGGGGAGGCCTGAATGCTGAGGGAACCTGGGTGCAGAGCATACTGTTGGAAGTGTCAGGAACCCCTGTATCCCGAGACTGGATAATGGGCGTTAGGCCGCCCAGTAACCCAGGCAAGGATCTGGAGTAGTCGGGGACTCCTGAATATCGAGACGGGATGGTGGGCATTGGGGCGCTTTGTCCACCCAGGAGATTCTGGGGCGTTGGGCGTCCTGCGCATTAAGCAAGGCGGCGTGGGGCACCCCAAAGGTGAGGCCCGGGTCCCAGGCAAGGGTGAGGCTCTTAATGCCCCGGCAGAGAGGCCCTTGTATTAGGCCGCCCACGCGCCCACCCGGGACCCGAGGCCCAGCGGGGGCCACTCACCGGAGCTGGGACGGTGACTCGTTTCCGCTTCCGGGTTACAAGCCTCTCTTTCAGATCCCAGGCGTGACCACCAACGACAGCCCCTCGGTTCTGTCCCCTCTGCCGTCGCCGCCGTTTCCGGATTAAACGAACTGACGTCACACGCCCCGCCCGCACCCGGAATGCTGGGAGGCGGCAAGAACGCGCGTGCGCAAACGCTCGGAAACGGGCCTGAGTCCAGGCGCATGCGCACCACTTTCCGTTTCTCTGCGTCGGCCCGAGGGCGTGCCGCACGTTCGAGTCCCGCCCCAGGATGCCGTGCCACGCCCGGAGTCCCGGTACCCGTAGGGTCGATGCACCTGCCGACGCCTTCCCCCGCAGCCACCTCGGAGGTCCTGCGTCCCACCACGTCACCCACTAGCACCAGGCAGGGTTCTCCTCCACGGGCGCACCGTGGCAGAAAGGGTCAGAGGTGGAGATGGCGCTGACTTTCCTGAGCTGGTTCACCGGCCAGAAAGCCAGGGGTGGCGGGATCCCACTCCTCCCTCATCCCAGAGTGGTAATCTTCCCACCAAGCCTGAGGATTGGGGCTTGATCTCCTACTTCCCCCAGCACTGAGCAGCCTGCTGAAGGATGCCCTAAGGCCACCTGGGCTGACATACCTCCCCCACCTCTTGTCACAGGAGCCCTGGTGGACATCAGCTGCCCCTCCCTGCCCACAGAAGGAAGAGGCGGAGGCCATGCAGTAACATTCCCCTTTAATAGCCTGGTGGGACCTCCAGTGGTGGAGGGATGGGGTGGCGGGGCCCCGGCCACCCAGTCCCCTCGGCCACCCACCCGAGAGCTCAAGAGTGGGGGGCTGGATGGCACCCAGCGGGGGGCTAGAGAAGCCAATTCATTTCCCATCGCTGAGCGGGTCGGGGGAGACAGCGCCGACCTCAATCACATGGTGGTTAAAAAAAAATAACTAGGAGCGGGTGGCAGGGCAGGGAGGCAAGGCTAGGGCATGGGATTCCCCCCACCTGACGCCCCATGCTCCCCACCTGTGGCCCCCAATAAATATTTGCAGGGGACGCCGGGGCTGGTGGCCCTGGCAGGGGTGTGCGCGCCAACCCTATTTCAGGCAGCGCTCGAAGTAGGTGGAGCCGATGTAGCCACCCCGCATGGAGCGCTGCACGTTCTGCTCAAACAGCCGCCGGTTGTTCTGCAGGACCTCAGCGGCTTCCTTGTTCAGTGGGTCTTCAGGGTTGGGCTCCTGTGGCCAGTATGGGTAGGGGTCAACAGGCCAAAGGGGCAGAGGGCCAACCTCCCCAAGGCCTACCCACCCAACCCTACTCACCAAGAAGAGATACTGCAGGCCATAAATTATGGAGTTTATCGTAAGGACTGGCTTCCAGTCCTCTCTGTGGGCAAAGAACATCAGGATCAGGGGCTGGTGAGGAGGCAGATACCGCTGGTCCTGCTGGGCATGTCAGGCCCAGGACACGGGACAGAGGGCATGTGAAAAGCTAGGGGGAGGGCTCAGGGCGGTACAGGCTAGAGAGAAAGTCAAGGTCTAGCCATAAGGAAGAAAACACAGAAATGAAGAGACCGAGAAACACAGACCACAAAGGGGAGGGAAGGGAAGGACATTGGTTCAGTGCAAGGCTGTGAGGGGGGCCTAGCAGGCAGGACTAGGGAAAGCAGTGGAGGGCCAGCACCCTCACCTGAGGATGTTGAGGCAGACGTTGCCCTCGAGGTCAATGTTGGGGTGATAGACCATCGTTTCACACTTCACCTTGGGGGGGTCGTGCGGGTAACCCTGGCCCACCTGGCTCCAGGAAGAGAGAGAGGAAGTGGACAGGCGCCCCAGCAATGCCTGGCTGCGGCCTCAGCTGTTGCATCCTCAGCCCAGGGAGCCACCCCTGCCTACCAGGGACTCACCTTAAAACTGAACACAAACTTCCCGCTCTTGTAAAAGCCCTGTGTAGGGGGGAGAAAGCGTTAGGGTCCTATCCCGTAGGGCCTGGCAAGTGAACCGGGCCTCCCTACTCGAGAGGGGACCAGTCCCTGGCCTGTGCCTGGGATCCTTACCTCATCAGGACAAATAACCAGCTTGAAGTTGAGGAGGTCATCCGGATCTGAGAAACTGATGTCACACGTCTTGGGCAGGTTCAGCTCGTTTATGTCTGGATTGCACAGCAGAGAAAGGGGACAAAGAAGGGAGCGAGGAGGGTGCTCAGAGCAGGTACAGGGGCCAGGAGAGCCTCTGTGACCTTCCCCAGGGCGGTCCTGGGCTATGCCCCATATCCCCAACCTTCTCCCTACTCTTTCTCCTCCCCAGTCTCTAAGCAGGGTCTCCTAGATCCACGGCACACCCAAAACATGCATCTTCAATTGCGGCTGTGCCCTAGCTCTTGGTCCAGGATAGTAACTCTTCAGCTCCAAATATATGCCCCAACATCTGGGTGCCCTGACCCAGCTCCCAAATACCCCCACTCCCAACTGGCCCCCAAGAGCCTCTGAACTCCAAACCGCAGGATCCTCAGCCATGACCTCCACTTTCTAGTGGACCCTGCTAGTCCTCACTTGTCCACCTGAACTCAAGGACTCTGTCCCCCGCTACCCTAAATAATCCCCTCACTGATTGCCAGTATCCAGCGTCCCTCCTCTTTCCTCTCTGCTTATTTCCCTAAACCCAGGTTCCTATCTGACCCCTAGTCCTGTGAATCCTCAGCCCCACTCTTGCTGGCACCCACTCTCTCTCCCTCCTCCACCTGTCACCGCAAACCCTAAATTGCCATGGGATGTCCCCCAGGCCCCAGAACCTAACTCACGCCATCGGACTCTCGGATTCCCAGTGACTCAAGCACAAAACACGAAATCCTCGTCCACTACTATCCCCAATGTCCGGCTCCCACTATGCTCTCTGCCTGTCATCCAGATTCCCGTCTGTCCCCTAGAATCAGTCCCCGACCCCCCACCACTTCCCTCCACCGCCTGACTCTCAGATTCCTGGTTCCTAATACCAGACGCCTGGTTTTCCGAATATCCTAAGTGCCCCATCCTGTGCCCCTCTTCTCTGATCCCCGGTGGCTGCATTACCTCACCCCCGATCCCCCATCACCCCAATTCCAGGTTCTGACCTCCGACCCCCCACATCCCGACCCCCAATCTGACATCGCTGACCCCCGGCGAGCTACCCCACTC